CTTTTTTTCAAAAAAGCCTAAAGGTAATTTGCAAGTTACAGAAAAACCTGAAAAAGAACGTCAAAATATTGAAGGTTCTAAAGGTAAGCACCCAGTGTTTATTTCTTTCTTTGTTGTTTTGTCAAGTTTAGGGAAAAAATAAAACCTAACCTAAAAATACTTTGATGGGTGGCCTTCATCACTATGAAACCCCCCCCCCCCCAAATAAAAAACCTGGGTGCGCCACTGGTTCCCAGTACAGATAGGCAATAATAACATAAAAGTAGTAGTGGACAAGTACGTATACCTGGGTCATGAGATGAGAATTCACAGAGATAACCAAACATGCGACTTGAAGAGAAGAATAACTGGATGTGCATCATCCGGGAAAATGAAAGATGTGTTTGGGGCCGACATTCCAATATCCCTGAAACTAAAAGCAACCATTGTGTCTTCCCAGTCCTGACCTATGGTGCGGAGACCTTGACTCTCACCAAAGAAACAGAAGAAAAGTTGAGAGTAACACAGAGACGAATAGAAAAGATCTATGCTTGGATTGACTTCAAAAGACCGAGTAAGGAATAATAAGATCCGCATAAGAACTGTGGTGGACGATATTGTAGAACGTATCGCAAAGCAAAAGTGAAAATGGGCAGGCCACGTCGCAAGATATGAGGACGGGAGATGGACGCAAAAACTCATTGAGTGGACACCAACAGCCCACAAACGAAACCGAGGAGGACCCCCCACTCGCTGGACAGACGGCCTAAAAAGGATATCGTCAAATTGGATCGGAATGGCCCAGAACAGAGACAACTGGAAATTTTTTGAGGAAGCCTATGTTCAACAATGGACGTGAAAAGAGACTGTTTGATGATGATGATGATGTGTATGTAACGTTATTATTATTGTAGTGTTATAGGTATTCCATGCTCGGCACTTGATCAGGTTTAATAATACTGCTTTCGGCTCCTGTTTCGGCTAAGAGGTATACCATTCAATTATTGGGTTCTTGGAAAGTAACAACTTCAAATAATATTGAACAAGCTGCTACCAATTCCAATTGGAGATTTTAAAAATATACACAACAAAAAAAGTTTTGCACCATCTTATTTTATATATTCAGCGATATTTAAATTAAAAAATAGTAAACAATTTCAGATTCCTGAATCTTTTCTAGGAAATGTACTGGACACATTCCATAGTTGAGGATAACAATATTTTTATTTGTCGACTATATTTTGCCAAATAATTTAAATACAAAAATAGAGGATTGTGACGTCATATTATAGGTAGTGAATGTCCGAAAAATTGATTTGGCTTAGAGTTCTGGTTTTTGAATAAATAAATGAAAATCAGACTATGCTCAAATTTCAATAAAAGCATACGACGAAAACAGATTTAGAACAATAGTCAACCGCCGTTCTGGAAAATCCGTACAAACAAACCTTCGAAAGCGTTTCAATCCAGAAAGTCTCTGGAAAAAGCACGCGTTCAGATGATTCCAGATTACCGAAACTGCTGCGTCTGGTAGCAATAAAGCCGAAAATCGATCGCGGCCCAATGCGAATCGACTGCCTTATCGCCTTCTCACATGAATTACCTCATTACGGTTACTGTGGCTCCATAAAAATCCCTTTCTTTTATTTGTATGATTGATGGGCAGAGTATTTGCTGCCTTGAGAGAAAAGGGGGCAGATTTCGTTTTTTTTTTTTTATTTGTACTTAGTTTTGTTGCTCAGAAAGACATCTGGGAACTGAAGGATAAATACAGGAAAAAAAAAATCAAGAAAATGTTTTGACGCGTGATTACAAAAGGTAATGAGTTTCAGATTAATTTGAAATGAAGATAAATAAAGATAATATTGACAACAATACAACCAAGAAAAATATATTTTATAGCTGCATCGTTCCTGAGGAGTTGACGTAAAACATAAAAGAAAAATCCGACGATGGGTTTACATAAAGAAAGCGACAACGACAGCCGTTGATATCTCAATCTCAATAGAATAGATAGATATCGACGATCGAGTGTATTAGGTGAAATCGAGGAATGTATTAGGAATTCTGAGGGAGCGGCTTTTCTTTCCTTTGAGATATTCCTTGAGTTTATTCCAACATTATTCACAACAAGAGTGCGGATGAACCAGTGGTAGATCGAATTATTTGTGTATTTGTCAATCTTATTTTTTAGAAAGACGGATTTTTATTTTTATTGTATACTTGCGGAATATTGAAATTTCTTTATTATTTCATAAAATTCAAAACAAATTTACGAAGTTTCCCAATCCAAACAAAACAACACACAATAGAGAGTTGCGCTCTCTCTGCTACACTTTCAACAAGTTTTCGAGTTTTATTTACTTTGAATGAGAAGAGCATAAAGTCATCGTCGTCTATATACTTATTGGTGTTTGCTGAAGCTGCAGTTATATGTTGACTCTTTACTTGGAAAATTCTGCCAATAAGGGACTTAGTTGTCCGCATTACCTCAATGCACGCTGCAGGATTGGCTTGTATCTCAAAGATCAGTTTACCAAATATTATATTAGGTACTTCATTTGAATTGCTTATAAAAAATGTTCACGTTTAGAGTTCTAAAATTATGAATTTTTATATCTGTATCTGTAACTTTGGGAGGCTGGTATGGTATGCCACAGCACTTAAGCCACATAAGGCCCATTGTGAGCCTCCACAAGAGGAGAGGTCATCCTTAGCTCGTCATCCAGCCTAGCGATGACGTCGCCGAGGGCGGTGCCTCTGATCTCTTCTAGCGATCGGTAGCTAATCTGGCTCTGCGTATTGGCGAAAGAGTAGTGCAGTTATAGAGAATGTGCTCTATCGTATCGTCTTCTTGATTGCAAGCCCTACACAAGGATGTGGTACTGAGATGCAACCTAAACAAATGTTTGTTCAACTGACCAGTCAAGATGCCTGTTATTAGGCTTAGCCTTTTTCTGGTCAATGACAGTGTAATGGGCTTCTCACTTCTGGTTCGCTGCAGCTTTATTCGTGTAGCTTAGCAGTTCCTTGGATAAGTTGCAGCCAATTGTAACGTCCCAGCGCTTTTTGAAAAGGGTAAGAGAGCGTTTTTTTATCATATCTCTGGCCACCGACATGGTCAGCCCTACGAAGGGCTCTGATCCAGGAGGCTGTAGCCTGACGGCCCTTCTCGCTAGAGCATCGGCAGCCCGATTGCCTGTGATCATGTCCTTCGATCCAGCTGACTACCATCGTGTCATTGATCGACGCTTCGGTGAGTGTACGGTGGCAATGTTGTACTAGTTCTGACTTGAGTCGTGCGGTCTAGATAGCGCTAGTACTGCTTGTCTGCAGTGCGTGCGCATCCGCAGCACGATCTTGTCAGTGATATTGTTGCTCACTATTTGTTCGGCCGCGATGGTTATGCCAGTAATTTCCATTTGGAGGACATTAGGCATGGAAACAAGGGCTATAGCTAGGTTCAGTTTGAGAGATTTGGAGTATACTCCGCATTCCGAGCCCGTTTGAGTTTTGGAAACATCAGTGTAGATGTTACTCACCCCTGCCACTGTGTTGTTTCCAATGGCTTTTGTGTTGATTGCGTAGTGCTTTTTGAAGACGAAACATGGGACTTCTGCACTTGTTTCTATTCCAACAGTGCGGAAGCGCACATTATTGTGGTTGAAACGACCTCCTTGACATAAGTATCCAGCGGCGTCAAACATAGAATTACTTCCAAAGCCCTAGTTGGTGTGGTTTTTATTGCACCAGTTATGTTGAGTCATGTCAGTCTTTGAACATGGTCTAGTTTTCGGCTCATAGTAGTCTGTTCAGCCTTATGTCCCAGACAATTGTTCCATAGGTAAGCATAGGCCGGATGATGGTAGTATAGATCCACAAAACTACCTTGGGGAAGAACCCATAGGTCTTACCCATAGTTTGTCTACACATAGGCGATATATGCTTTCTGTATTCTCTTAGCAATATGAGAGTTCCATGTTAGTTTGCAATCTAGTGTCACTCCCAGATATTTGACCTCGGCGGCAAAACTTAGTTGGGTATTTAAGAGTGTTGGTGCTGTCAGAAGTACCAGTTTCCTCTTTCTTGTGAATAGGACCATTTCAGCCTTCTCGGGGTTGATGGACAGAGTATATTCCATGCACCATCTTTAATTCGAAAAGCATGTTGCATGCGTTCGCAAAGCGAGTTCTCGAATTTTCCTCTATGCAAGATGACTATGTCATCTGTGTAAGCTATAATTTTATAGCTTATGAAGTCTCATCGCTATTTTATACGACGGCACGGAGATTCGCCGTCGGTGCTTTGATCATTCAAAATATTTCCGAGCTAATTTCCGTAGGAAACATTTTAACATTTCCTTGGTCATCCGGAGAAAGGCAAAACAAACCTTTTTCAATGAACTCTATACATATATTATACAGGGTGACAATTTGAAAAGAAGCAATCGGGAATATCTCCTAAACAAAAAATACTATCAGGAAGATCTCAAATAGATATCGGGGGATTGGAGGGGAAACCAAAATCAGGAACTTTTTGAGTCACCCCGCCTCACCCCTTAGGGGGTACCTACCCTATCTAATTTTTTTTTAAATACGAACCTACCTTGTGTTTTGTGTTGCACATCGTTCAATAGCTCGTTGCTATCCCTTTACAGTCATATAGCAAAATCTTAAATCGGACGATTAGTTTTTGAGATATCGGTGTTTAAAAATGAGCAGATTTTGAAAACTAATAATTTTGACTATCTCTTAGACAAAAGAATTCTGTCATAAAAGTGTTAAATACACATCGGGGAAACCCAATGAATTATAACCAAGACTGGAATGCGCCCACGATTGCCATATGCGTCAAAATGTGAAGCCACCTTGTTAGACAAAGACGGATGTCGCAAGGGGGAATGTTGTTCTTTTCTGTTGCTCGCTGACATATGACGTTCCAACAAGTTTCATTATATTTGAGCTATTTTTTGGAGATTTTATTGAGAAATTGTGAGTTCATGTGCATAAAAACTATAGAAAATGGTTGTCTATTGTTGTGCCTATAGATGTACAAATGAAAGAACACCGGGGACTAAGCTACGGTTTCATAAGTAAGTATTTTTCCCGTTCATTCATATCTAGGTTAGAATCAAATCAATAATATAAGCATTTTTGCTCACATATTTGCCTACTCCAAAAGATAAAGACAGTCAAAATTGTTTTGTTGTTCATTGTTTAAGGTTTCCTTTGTCAAGGCCTGAAGTTTTGAGATTATGGATCAAGGCTGTTCGTTGGGAAAATTTCAAGCCGTCAGCTCATACAGTACTATGCAGTGACCATTTTAGGGAGAGCGATTATTTGGAATCGTCATTATATAAAAAATTAAAAAGGATGCTGTGCCTTCAATTTTTAAGTTCCCTAAACATTTACAAGTAGGACCCGATGTCTAAAGAAAAAAAATCATCAAGAAATCTCTGGTGGAAACTGAGATACCTGAGGCTGAGGTAATATACACCGCACAAAAACTATCGCATCACCAATGCTTTTAAATATTTTGGCTACAGTAAATTTATTTTAAAAATTTCCTAAGTATTCCCTGAATGGCCATTCTTTAACTGAAAAACTCGAGTCAAAAAACATGTCGTTTCTTCTTCTGTTAGGTTCTTGTTTACTTTTTTCGGGGAAAATGCGGATAGGCATGCCTTCCACTTTGCAATTATGCTGTTCATTTCTGTGTTTTCTGCTTTGATAGATGCGATAATTTTTGTGCGGTGTATATTTGGTTTCGCAGATGTGTATTCGAAACTTTTATGACAGAATTTTTTTTGTCTATGAGATTGTCAAAATTATTAGTTTTCAAAATGTGCTTACTTTTAAACACCGATATCTCGAAAACTAATCGTCCGATTTAAGATTTTACTATATGACTCTTAGGCATAGCAACGAGCTATCGAACGATGTGCAACACAGTTTCGTATTTAAAAAGAAAAATAAGTTGGGGTAGCTACCCCCTAAAAGTGCCTCATTTTGGTTCCCCCTCTAATCCCCTGATACGTATTTGAAATCTTCCTGATAGTATTTTTTGTCTAAGAGATATTCCCGATTGCTACTTTTCAAATTGTCACCCTGTATGTAGGTAAATATCTGTGGAATTGAGGCGACCGACCGCGCAATCTCTGCAATCACGCGCCATAGTGAAAGGAGCAACTAAAAACTATATTTAGCCTGTCTGTCTGTCATACTCGCTCCAATGAGGCAGAGGGAAGAAACAGAAATTGTTATCAAGGCGAGTTGTCTATGTACAGATATCGCGATACATATACCAACTTAGTATAAAATATAAAATTAATTGGTTTTTATATCATGTCATATAGTTTGAATAACCATAAATTTATCGATTGCGGTGCGTTTTTATGTTACGCGTTGCTGACCTGTCCAGCATACACGTTACTGTCGGATATACTGTCAGATATGGCCTTATTATTATATATAACGGTCAGAGAACGTTATCCCTATCGCTATGCTAGTTGCTGTCTTCTTCTCTCTTTTCGAAATCAATAGAGAGAAGAATTCAATAGAGATAGAGAAAATATCTCTATTCGTAACAGAGTCCTAGCACAGCATGCCAAGAGAAGTCGAGAATGGGGTGAGACTTGCATGCAAGCATTGTTTGGAGGATTAGTAATTTGTTGATTCAATTTTTATTCAGTGGATGGAAATTTTTACTGTGAAAAGTGCATTCTAAAACTTGTTTTTATTTTGTTTGTGTTACGTATACAGCGTCGATGTCAAGTACTTATTTCTCGGGCATAACTAGACCAATTATTAATATAAGCGGTTTACGCTTCCAAAATTAGGAATTAAGTTGAGAATAAATATACTGAACTTCGACTGAACATACCTCCTCCTCACCTATATGTCGAAAAATAGGCAATAATAGATGCATATACACTATTCCAGACAAAAATATTTAAGTCTGAATGGCCACTTACGCATTCTTTAATCTATAAAGCTCGGGTGCCAAAGTAAACCAACAGATCATATGATAACATCACTAGACTTTGAAATTCCATATGAAGTGATTGTAAAATATCGCCAATCATGGAAGAACGCAAAGCTACGGCAAGCCGACAACGCATCATTGTGGTACACAGATGGTTGGGAGGTAACGGAAGGAGTCGGTCTGAGAATAACTGGACCAAGCTTTAAACGCTCCTTAGCAATGGGTTAAATGGCCACAATATGTCAAGCTGAGATACTCGCCATAAACATCTGTACCCAAGAGTGCCTTGAAAGATGCGTTTTAAGGGAGCTCATTTACCTACTGTACGACAGTCAAGCGGCTCTGAGGGCTATAGGAGCTATCAAGTGCAATTCGCAGCTAGTTTGCGAGGGTAAAAATATCCTTAAGCAACTGGCTGGGAGGAACAAAGTAACCCGGATAAGGGTGCCAGGACACCAGGGCATAGAGGGCAACGAGGAGGCAGACTGTTTCGCAAAGCAAGGCCCAGAGTCTCCGAAAAAATGAACAGATAGGAAGAAGTGCTCCAAAAAGGTTCATATCCATCTCAGCAAAAAGATTTGCACAATTTCTTGACGTGAACAGGAGAGACATTAGAACAGTCATTGGTCTACTCACTGGGCATTGCCTGGTAAAATATCACCCAAAAACAATAGGCAAATCAGACAACGATCACTGTAGATCTTACGAACAAGCAACAGAAACTACAGAACATTTAATCTGCGAATGCCCTGCTCACTTCTGTACAAGGCTGAAATACCTTGAAGGGCTAACACCCCAAGTGGTGGGCACTTTACCACCCAGGAAGCTGGCCTCATTTGAGAGAAGCTTACAAATCTTGGACACCGACTAGAAGCATAGTCACGCACAAAATATCTGGGAAGGTAGCAGTGCTTGAGCGGTTGGAAAAAGCTGTAACAACTCCAAAGTCAATCTACTAAACTTCGAGTTTTTGGTTGAGTTTATACTTAAATTACACTAATTTTTGGGTGGAAGAGGAAGAGGGCGAAAATATAGGATGTTTTCCGATTTTTCTGTTCTAATAATAACTACAGTGACCACTTCAATGCGTGCAAATAGCATCATTTTTTCATGGACATTATCTAATTATGAAATTATGAAACGAATTAGTAGGAACTACAACGATCTCCTTATTACATAATTTTCATTTGAATGATAGCCACCTTCAAATTTAATTTAGTTTAGTTTAATTTTTAATTTGAGGTATCGACGACAGCCTTTATGAAGGTTTTATTACGAATGTTTAGTTCAGTTTAATTCCTGATTTTGAGCTATAAACCGGCTATCAGATTCTCAAAAACGAACGGAACGTCATAACTTTACAAATTACGCCTGCGGTCCAAAAACTGCTTAGGTACCTTATAAACTCAAATCTATCAAAGTGTGAACCAACTCCGCCTAGGCTTTCTATGGATCGGAAATGTCTTAGTTAAAAAAAACAAAAAAACTTCGACATACCTTACATTTCCATTATATTTGTATTAGAAACATAAAAATTTACAGAAAAACCTATTCAAGTGTGATAAATAAGTTTATAGGTGTTAAGGGAAGCAGACGATAAAAGTCGGAAAAGTTTATCGAGGTTGGTGTTGTTTTGGCCCGATAGCTTACACGATACATGTGACGGTGCGACGGCACCCTCATCGCATCACAAGTTATATTTAATCCCCCAGTTTATCCCCATAACCTCGAGCTTTAGTTTCATTTATCATGTGCTATCTGGCGCAACAGGCCTCCGGCTTCGTCGGTCTTGTATTTTATTTTATTGCTTTATTACTTCCGTACTGCGGAGATTCTCATTATTATTAGAAATTGTTAATAGAGAGTTAAAACACCAAACATGCATACGTTTGCTCATGCACAATTCAAAATTCTGTACCTTCTACATATAGTTAGATGTCAAATTCGACATCTACGCTTACGTATTTTCCATTTAATAGAAAAATCGGACTGTAGTATGCTGAGTCTGTCTGAGTCTTTCAACTAATTACCCGTTTTTTAAATTTTTCTCTGTTTGTGATGTGTTCAAAACCGCGCCATTTCATTTCTGCTATCAGGGTCATAGCACCTTTGTCATCTATCGAATGTCTTCATCCGTGACGTGTTCTCTTCGACTTATTTCCATTATCATATATTCTATGTAGTCCATTAGCCGTATTGACCGTCATCGAAAATGTTTGCATGCTATATGTCATTACTGAAGCCTGCTTTATATTGAAAGTATTTTGTGATATGATTCTTAGAATTTTCCTAGAATCCAAAAATGTAATAAAATATAGCCGGTAACCCATATCAAATAACAAAGTTGACAATTCCAGGCAAACTGGAAATACCAGTCGAATGTTTTTATATTGAAATTCTGCAACTATCCAAGGATAACCACACAAAATGAATAGCATGAAGTCTCAAGTCCGGGCGCTTTAAGGGCTAGTTGAAGGCGCCTCTTCCATCCGAAAACGATTCTTTTACAGCTTCTAATGCAGTATTTCATGACTGGCTAGTATATCCATCCTCACCTTATAGATTGTGATGATTGGGTCGCTATGGCAAAGCCTATATTGTTTTGGCAAAACCTATAATGTTCCTGGGATTGGCTTCTTTCACATCCACATCCGTTAAGTAGGGCTGCTCCAGATTGATGAGGTACAATGCCTCAGTTGCATAGTATATGTTCCGCAGCATAGGTCTGATTCTGTTTTGTCCATCTTTTCCAGGTGGTAACCCAGAGGGCAGTGGCCCGTAAGGAGGCCTATAAGCAGCCTTAGATTCGCTTTACTAACGTCAATCATTTCCTGTACCTTTGTTGACTAGGGCAAGATGAATTGTTTGGCCTCTCTAAGTCCTGGGAGCTTGTTCCAGCGGAAGGCTTGTTGAGCCTTTACCCAAATATGGATCCCTATTATTATATGGCTTTTCGTGATGCCAAAGAAAAGTTCTGGTCCAAGGAACTGTGTTGCAGCTCCTTGTCTTGCAAGTTGATCCGCTATTTCAGTCCCCTTGACTCCTTTGTGCCCTGGTACCTATGACAGGGTGACTCTGTTGCGAGACGCCAGTTGCTCTAGTAGTTGTTGGCAGACCCATACCATTCTGGACTTAGTGACAGAGCTACTCGGAGCTCTTAGTGCTGCCTGACTATCAGAATTGATATAGATCTTCGCTCTTCGCAGGTATCTTTCGAGATACTTTCTAGCGCAAATTTCTATCGCGAATATTTCCGCTTGAAATATGATTGGGCTTTCTCCTATTTGATAGTCTACAAAATGGGCCGTATACTCCTCCTCCAGTCCCTTGCTCTGTTTTCGATCTGTCTGTATACCAGACAGAGGATCCGTTCGGGAATACAGCCACGATATTTTCTCCCTTGCGGCCCTCAATAGTCAGTTTGAAGGAGTGTTCAAATTCGTACCTGTGTTGCATGTGGTCAACTGGTTTTGTCGTTGCATTCATGCGTTCTTTCATTATGCT